TATATATATATATAATTTCACAATACATTTAGTCTGCATTTTTGTCTTTTATAAATAAGACCTGATCTTTCATCTATGGATTGTTAAAATATGTTTGGCTTTTTAAAGGTTTCAATAATATTTAGGGGCGGACTGGCCTCCCGCGCGTGCACAGACTCGGGCATGAATCTGCCTGTGCGTGCACGAGCGGTGCACTGCTATCTTGCGGTTTTATGCAGACTAGCGGGAACGTCTCAAAAGCGGGCAGTAATGTCCACTTCTTTGCAGAGTTTAGCTCAATCACTGATAAAACACACACGAACCAAGCTAAAAGTGAGCGTTTGTTCAAGGTTGGAGCTAAAAACAACACGAAAAACAAGATGAAATCGGCACAAATTTAGTTAATTTTAAAGTAACATGCACATAATGCTTCATTCACGCTCTCTCGAAGCTCGCCTTCAAATAACACAGCTGTGTACTGTTATCGGTAATTTAATTAGTAGTACTGACAAACAAGTATAGCGATATTGAAACTTATTTCGAATAAAAAGCAGAACAAATTCAACTTAAAAGATTTCTGATCGCAAGCACAGTGTTTATCCATATTAACGCTAAAGTTGCCCCCATTCAATCTGTATCACCATATAACACGAGGGATTTTCTATCAAATAGAAACCTTACTTCATAATACAAAATATTTCACTATATATATTAAATGTACTAACATACCTAAATGATGAAGCTGAAATAGTGGACTTCTCCTTTCGAAAAATTAACCTTCTCTCGAGGCTCTTCACCACCTGTCCATGACGATGTCCTTGTCAATGACTGACGTCACCAGAGGGCTTTTTTATGATTATTAGTTTTAAATAAATTATTTAACCATAACAACATGTTACTGCACAGTCTAAATAAGTTGGTTATTTTATTTATTTCACAAAATAATTTGTCAAAAATGTTAAACATAAACTAGGCCTATAAGTTATATGCTATTGTACAAACCTGCATAAAAAAATCCCATCATACTGTACACTGATTAAGTTTTTGACGACAGCATTCATTTTATTAGGTTTTGACTCAAAAAGCTTTGTCTCTCTGTGTTATAACTTATAATTATTTCATAATCTTTACTAAATAATTATGTTATGATTCAAAAATTATAGAACCGTTTTAATCAAAAAGGTTCTTTGCAGTCAAAGGGTTCTAAATGGAACCATTTTTTGGGTAAAAGGTTCTACTGGCCAAGTATAGAACCCCAAGGTTCTATATAGAACCTCAAGGAACCTTTTTTTTTAAGAGTGTAGTTTCAGGGTAAATATACAGTGATTAAATTACTTATTGTCTGGAAAAAAGTAGTTACTGTTCAATTTAGGTATACTTTAATAATTGTTGCTTCTCTTAAATCTTTTCAAGTCTTTAAATGACACCTTTTAAGCTAAACACTATCATCTTGCAAATAACTAGTAAAATATTATGTACTGTTATCATAGCAAAGACAAAAAAAATTACTCATCATTAATTATTACAACTATTGTGTTTAAAACTATGTTAACTGGAACTTATTTTTAAACATTTGACAGAATTTTGCATTTCTTTAAAAAGAGTTACAATGTCACAGGAGGGCTAATACCTTTGACTTCAACTGTATATTTGTACAGTCTTCTCTTTATTTTATCACATGTTTTTTAGGGTCCTATCTAAACTGGTACAGGACAAACCAAATACTTGGGACCAGTATTTGGATGCTGCCATGTTCGGACTTCGAACAAAGAAGCAGCTGACCACCCAATTCTCCCCATTTTACTTGATGTTTGGAAGAGAGGCACGCTATCCATGAGAAGTCCCTGAACATTTTGAGGTATTTTGTTGTAAATATTCTGGATTCTTTTTATGTCATTGCTATGTTAAGCTAAGTTATTTAGTACCATTTTCCACAGCTTGATGGTTCATTTGAAAATGAATTCACTGAAGACATTGCCATTGACATCAAACGACATGAAAAAATCATGAACATTGTTGAAGATAATGTAAATAAATCTATCGCAAGGACAAGAAAAAGGCTGTCAAAGAAGGCACAATTTAGCCTTCAGGTGGGAGCAAAAGTGTGGAGAAGAAATGTCCGGAGTGAGCAGAGGAAAAGGGGGAAACTAGACCCTGAGTATTTTGGTCCCTTTGTGGTGACCAAAATACAAGGGAAGAGTGTTGATCTTGTGGATTCGGAGGGTCGATCCACAAAAAAGATTAACATAAACCAATTGAAGCACCACCACGAGGAGACACCAAGAGTACCTCGAAATCTGAGGAGTCAACATCAGCAACCCTCTGAGCCAACGAGTGCAACCTCCTCTTCTTCTCCTCCTCCAGCTGCTCTCTCTCCTATATCTTCTCCTCCTCCCCCAGCTGCTCTCTCTCCTCCAGCTGTTCTCTCTCCTCTACCTTCTCCTCCTCCTCCGTTGCTCTCTCTGCTCCAGTTTCTCTTTCAGCTGCTCTCTCTCCTCCATCTGCTCAGTCTTCTCCCCTAGCTGCTCTCTCTTCTCCAGCTGCTCTCTCTACTCCAGCTTCTCCTCCAGCTGCTCTCTCTCCTCCATCTGCTCAGTCTTCTCCTCTAGCTGCTCTCTCTCCCCCATCTGCTCAGTATTCTCCTCTAGCTGCTCTCTCTCCTCCAGCTGCTCTCTCTACTCCAGCTTCTCCTCCAGCTGCTCCCTCTACTCCATTTTCTCTCCAGTTGCTCTTTCTCCTCCAGCTGTTCCCTCTCCTCCAGCTTCTCTTCCAGTTGTTCTCTCTGCTCCAGCTTCTCAATCTTGTCCTCCCACTGCTGTCGCTCCTTCACCTGCTTAATATTCTCCTCCAGCTGCTCTCTGTTCTCCAGCTGCTCTTTCTGGTCCATCTTAACTGTTTTCTGGCAAACAGGTCATGAATGCATACCTTGCTCACAAAGTAAAACTAAACAATGAAACAAGGGCCAAAAAGCAAATTAATATTGATTTATTTGAGATGACAAGGATATGGGAGGGAAAAAATTCAAGACTGAAGGTAGGCACAGGGTTTGGGGTTTGGTGGGGGTTGCTTTTTTAGGTGGATTGTCACTAAATAGGTTTTATTCACTATTTTTGTATATAAATGTTATCTGTATTAGTGTGACTCAACAAAGTATGGGGTAATTTTGGGAGCTGTTCATGAACCTGGTCACTGGATTTTGGTGGTAAGTAAAAATTACTCACAATAGCTGTGAAACATGATGATGATAATATAATCTAAAATAATATAAAAAATACATCATAATACAACAATCTACAGGCCATCTTTCCGGACCAAAAAAAGAGCCTTGTGCTTGATCCCCTGGGAACTGAAGCCAGCAAGATTAAACAGTGCTTGGAGTCCACAAGGTGACTGTTGTTTATAAAAAAATCTATTTTAATACAAACTGAAATATGCAATTGCCATAATTTTACATTTGCCTGCCTTTTTAGGGCATTTATGAGAAAAAGAGGAGTAATTTCTTCCAGGTGGACAGCCGACACAGCTCCACACAGTCACCAAAAAGACAGCAGTTCATGTGGAGTATTTGTGCTTAAAAAAAAGTTTGTTTTTGTCTCTCATTGGCTATACTGCTGTCTACTGTTTAGTATTTGTTAAAGCAAAATATTTTACATGTGTCAAGTATGTAAAAATACTCATTTGGATTACACATTATTCGTGTATTTATGTACAACAGCATATACTGACAAATCCAATATAATTCTGTGTCATATTAGTATGCAGAAAAAATCCTGGCTGGGGAGTCTTTGATGTTCGCCAACAAGGCCTCAGCGGTGAATATTTATAGAAAAGAAATTGCCAGGATACTGCTGAATGGGAGTGGTAAAGTTGTTGAATTATATACTTTTGTTTAAATATTTGTCTTATAGAATGGTCCGTCTAAAAACACAATTTGGATTGACATAGGAAGGTGTCTGTTTAGAATGTCTGTTGTCAAAATAAAAAAAGCATAAAATAAAGGAAATAGAAGCACAAAAAAAAAGGTATGATAAAAATCTTGGAAAAAAAAGAAAACCATTCACAAGACTAATAACTAAACAGAAATAGGTCTATAAATAAACATAAGGTAATTAATAAGACAGGTGATTATTTTAGAAAATAAATATAAATGAAATGTCCATACTGTAGGTGTCAGATCATAATACACATTTTATACACACACAACCCTATTATCCATTAATACTGAAAATAAAATATATAATTATTTTAGGTTTTATCTTTGAATGGAAACTAAACAGCTGACTTTCATTTAACTTGATTTATTTTATCCTTGTACTGTATTTTATGTTTTGTTGTTGTTTTCTGTTTTATATGTATGTTTTCACATGAATTGTGTATTTTTAAATAGATTTTCCTTGCATGTGGACTGTTTCGAACTTTAGGACAATATATTTCCTGCATCTGTGTTGTGAAATATAAAAGTACTCAAAGTCAGAAGAAAGACTATATATTTTTAAATACACCAAAACATATGCCTAGATCAGTTGTAGTAACTGTTTTAAAGTTGTTTCTGCTCCTATTGGGCCATTAACACCTGGGGATGGGCAGATTGTGCTGCTGTTGGATGCTGTCTCCTGATAGACTGTTGATCTGCTGCCAGCTCAGGTTAAAGAGGCCCATCTCATCTCAGTAAAGTTACAGTTGTAACCCTTTCAGCTACAGCTTGCTGCGTTTGACCAGTGGACAGAACTCACATTTCAACATCAGAAATGGCTTCTAAACAGTAAGTACATTTAGTCAGTACGCCTTATGCAGCAGGCTTCTTAAACTCAGTTTAGCTTGTATCATTTTATCAGTGGAGTTAGTTTGTGGAAGTCAAATCTTTAAAAATCTAAAGAGTCTTCTAGAACTTAGTTCTTCTAGATAATTAAAAAAAAACACTACTTGTGTTGTTATTTTATATTTGACTTGTAAATCCTAACTGCTGGTATAATCTTGTTTAAGAAATAATTGAGACAATTTTATTCTTGTCTTATAATAAATGTCATATTATTAAATACATTTTAAATAATATGGTTAGTAACAGTATTATATTAATATGAAATTAAGTTTTGTCTTAAAACTCTAATCAAAATATCCGGCAGACATTGCTGTGTGTGTTTGTGTGCTCATTTCTTTGTTTCTGTACCTGGAGTTGGGGGTGGGGTGTGGTGGACCCCAAACCTTACCAAAGCTGCTCTTGGTCTCTTCATTTTATAACATTTTGATTTTATTATCCACACAGATCCTTCCACAGCAGGATGTTTTTCCTCTGCCCTGTGTGCAAAAAGGCTCCTCATTCTCTTCCTGGGCATCTCAGGAAGGTGTGTATGAGGAACAGCACAGAAGCAGAGATCCAGGCTGTCGTCAAAGAGGCCAAGAAGGAGTTGTCTGAATTCTGTCACAAAGGACGTTTCTGGGAATTTGGAAAAATTTGTGACATATTGGACTCTACTAATCCTCTGGCCAGGTTTGTATTCAGTTGTGCTTATCATATTTGATGTATCTGACTTCAAATCTAACATCAGCATATAATAATAAACATACATTTTTGGTATTGTTTATTTGACCTTATTTTATGTTCCTTGTTTTAGGATGAGAAAAGATGCAGTCAAAGAGGTTGGTGATTAATAACTTACCTTCAGTCCTCCCGGAACCAGCTCGGTCGACAACATCTTCTGTGCCTCAAAGCTCTGGAGAAGGTGCAGAAAGTTCATTGGAGCCTCCAAATGAGTCCTTATCCGACGAGAGCTCTGGAGAGTACTATAAGAGGTATACTTTTATATCAGCATTCCCAGAAAGTAAATATACACTGCGGATATGACTTCTCTTTAATATACAAAGTCATTTTGATCACCTGCTTTTCTATTTCAGCACTGGTGGACCAATGTGGACCTCTTCCGTGAGGGTGGAGATGGTCAAAAAAGGCTTATTCAATAAGCACTCCATTGACCACCCCCTTCTAGCAGAATTTAATAAGTACCTTTACATTGATCTAGGACATAAAAACAGCAAACAAGTAGTAAGTTCAAGTGAAATTATATATGTAAAAATGAGTGAATGGGTGTTGTTTTATGCAGTACAGTTTATTTTAATGTGAAATGTGTGCTTTCAGGTGGAAACAGTGTCCAGGTTCTTGCATTACATGGACCCCACTGAGCCAAACTTGATGTTTGTTCGGCAGGTGGAGAAAGTGCGAGAGTACTTTAACATCTTGTCAGATACAAAGCTTTCAAAATGGACAGTATTCAACTACTCGAAGAGTCTCAAGAGGTCAGTAATGTGGAACCACCACAAGCTTGCCATGTACATGTTAACTAATCATGTCAGCTGTGCTGTGTTCTGACTGTAACAAACCCAATGTTGATCTCTTTTCAAGGTTCATGAAATACATTATTACCTCCACGGACATTTGCCACAACAATCCAGCTTTGTTCCAGGACTGTGAGAGTTTTATGGATGTGCTGTATGGAATACAGAGTGGCATGTCCAAAGAAGTGAGCATGGAGGTCACAGCAAAAAAATCAGAGTTTGGTTGTGGCAAAGAAGTTTTGCCAAAGGACTGCCTTGCTGTTTTGGAGGCTGCATTCAAAGATTTCCAGGCCGTGATATGCAAAATGCAGGGTCCAGGAGCCATCACAGGGGACTGTTTGACTAAAAATGAACGGCTGCTCGTCCTGTACTACCTGGAGGCTGTTATCATGCTGAAGCTAGTCCAGCGGCCTGGAATTGTGACACACATGACTGTAAGTGTTTGTTTTTCCCTACATTCTCTTCTTTGTTCTTATATGCTTCATCAATGTGCAAAACTGCCTGTTTGCAGGTTGAGGATTGGGAGGGGAGAAGCCGGATAGAGAATGGTGTCTGTGTTGCAGTGAAGGAGCACAAAGTACCATTGTCACACGAACAGGAACTTGTAAGTTTATATAGTCTTTTATATAATAACAGCAATAAATGTATTGTGTCAAATTTAGACTTATTTTTTTCCGTTCTTTAACTAGTGGTTCGACTTGTACTTCAATGAGGTGCGGCCAGTAATGCTGCAAGAAAACCACACCGGCGATGATGTGGCAGTTGATTCATTTTTTGTGTCAAGTAGTGGGAGATCGATTTATAATCCCTCCAACGACTTAAAAAGACTACATGACAAGTAAGCAACATTACACCTGTCTTTAACTCTACATGTTCATCTGTCCACTTTTTGCCTTCTTACGATGCCTTGTGTTTCAGATACAGTCTTCCCAGTGTGACGTGTGGCGATGCCCAGAGAGCATTTGAGGCAGCAGCACAAAACCTGTCAGAAGTGGAGAGAAATGTGGTGGCAGCTGAAAGAATCTACATGAGGGGAACATCTTCAGATCCGTTTCTGGCTCTAAGTGTGCTAGATCAGCTTGCTGGGAAAACACTGTAAGCATCTAACAACTGGGATGATCCTTATTTTTAAATTTGCAACCCACAGCCTCGCCTTTCCTTCCTTCAATATTTATTTTCTGTGATCTTATAGAAAAAGGTCCAGTAGAGTTTCCAGCTGTGAGACAAGGGTGGACGAACAGACGGCCTATAAAACTCTTGTGCAGTTCTGTCCAGTGACTCTGGAGGGGCCTCCTCCAAAAAGGGCACGCAGGACTGAGCTGTGTGGCTCAGAGCATGAGAGGCACTGCTATGACCGCTGACGTAGCGAGCAGCTCAAGCTGCGTGAACAGCATTCTCTTGGTGAGTATACAGATGATTAATGACACAAACAGGGGAATTGAGTGAGAATAGCCGAATACTGATGTGTTTTGTGTTTCTAGAACACTTTGCTGGACAGCAGCCATCAGAGTCCAAAATAAGCCGCTGGATGGACAAACAAGGGTGGATGTCAAACGTCCCACAGGCTGCAGTGGTTCTGAAGCAGTGGAAACCTGTTGCCAGGTTGGACTTGGTCATCGACAGCAGCTTTGTGAAAAAAATGATTTTGTCTCAACGCTGGAAAGGACTGACTGTCAGGCCCGTCCCTGACAAGGGCGATGGTGTTTTCACCAAAAGACCCTTTCAGATCGGGGAGGTTGTCTGTGAATACCACGGCGAGCTGGTTAGCCATGAAGATGGGATGGCAATAGCTTCGACAAGCGCCATCAGAGCTGGCCATTTGTTTTTTTATGAGAACAAGCAACATCAAGCCATGTGCATTGACGCACATGAAGAAAGTTGCCAGTGCCATCCGTCACTCCAGCAAAAGAGCCAATATCCGGCCCAGGCTGTATGTCCTTAAAGAGCCCATATTATGGGTTTTTGAAAATTCCCCTCCATGTAGTGTGTAACACAGCTCTAAGTGAAGTGAAGTATCCAGCTAAGGCTTAAATCTGTAAGAGTACAGTGTTTAAAACGGTTGATTCATCTATAAAAGAGTCGACTCATAGTGCTTCAAACGAGTCGCCTTGATACCGACTCATTAGGTGTTTCGCCATGACGTACGAACGAAACCAAGTTATTCACGTGCACGCGCAAACCCGGGAGATTTCAAACCTGAGGCCCCGCCCTCTGACGCAGAAACCCAGACACACACACGCACACACGCACACACACACCCACAAACACACGCACACCCACAAACACACGCACACAAACATGCCGGTCGATTGAAGTCACACTGCAGATGGATATATTGAGTCTCTACCCAAAGATGAAACCTCAGCATTATAACCAAGCAGTTGGAAACTTCTGGAAGCTACATGCTACAAAGAATACTTCATCTGAGTTTGTTAAAGGAAGGATCAGTATAGAGTAACTGATGGACGTCAGGATGGGTTTCTTCCATTTCTCAAGTGTAAGTACGTGCGGTTAAAGTTGTTGCCTCGTTGACTCTAGCTTGCAAATGTATTTAGTTGTGATTTGTTACTTGTAACCGCGTGTACTGTATCAGGTTAACTGGATATTTTATCTTATCGCGTGCAAAGTCACGTTAAAAACGCGACGCGTGCTGTTTGTTTATGGAGCTCCGTGCTAGAGTTCTGCTCCCGCGATTTATTCGGAAATTTATTCCCGCGCCGCAGAAATCTGGCGCGGGGACAGCCGCGGGAATAAATTTCCGAATAAACCGCGGGAGCGGTCGGTAACGGGTTTAATTTGGGACGGGAGCGGGCTGTCTAGCAATATCACGGATATTGCTATGCGAATTAGAAAGAGAGAGTCTGCGTGGTGCTTGTGTGTGTGTTAGTGCGCACGCGCGCGTATGAGAGAGAGAGAGAGAGAGAGAGAGAGAGAGAGAGAGAGAGAGAGAGAGAGAGAGAGAGAGAGAGAGAGAGAGAGAGAGAGAGAGAGAGAGAGCGAACGAACGAACGAACGAGCGAGCTTTGTGCTGTGTGTGTGTGTGTTTATACAGACAGCTTGGCTGTCTGGACTGTATACTGGGTGATTTTTGGTTGTGTTCTCCGCTCTAGCGGGACCGGGCACGGCGGGCAGAAAACGGAGCGGGTTCTTAGGCTAAAACCTGGCGGGTGCGGGCGGAAGCGGGAGCGTTGTCATCCGGAGGTGTGTGTGTGTTTTTGTGTGTGTGTGGTATGGCGAGTACACGACTGTCTCCTTCGTTCGGTTATCCGTGGCACTATCCACTCGCCATAGTGTGGCAGCTAAAATCCACGTCTACACTATCGAGCGTGTATGAACTGTGATTACTTTTTAAATTGCTGATTAGCTATTGGCCATTTCCCTCTCTGACTGAAGGCAGTCGACCAATCGCGACAGACTGTCATCGGTCCAATCAGCGCAGATTAGCTTCGCGCTAAGGAGGGGTTTGGGAACAAATGAATCACTGCACGATTCATACAGGAGTCGCTGGGGTAATTAGGTAAAAATAAATGCAGATTATAAGACCATGAAAGTGTTTTTTGACCTTGCATGCATATTAGACTGTTGTTGGAGACCCTTACAACCAGGATATGACCCTATTTCATGTATAATATGGGCTCTTTAATGATAGAGACATCATTCTCTTCATTGCTACAAAAGACATTTCGAGTGATGAGGAGTTATTCTATGATTATGGCTCAAAGAGGAGATCTTTTGCCGGGAAAGGGTTGGAGCCTGAATTGATACTTTTTAGCCACAAAATGATGGTGGACGACTCTTCAAAAATATTTTATTTGACAAATGATTTTTTTTAAAATCATTTTAATAGAACAATATAATTACAGTTCAAAGTAAACATCAATTAATATTGTATTACATTAATACATTTCCTTTGATCATTTGTTGGTTAGCATGAATTTAAGATTTGCATTATGAAATTACATTAGCTTACTATTAACCTGTGGGGGGCGGGCAGGGGCCACGTACTTTCAGGAGCACATTTTAACATATATATCACAAAATACTTAAAACATTATTGGAAGTCATTTGTTTTCATGCATCACTCTGCAGTCTTCATAACAAGATAATTAAATAACTTAAACTCAAAATAATCTTCCTCGTTCATTTATTTGACAAGTAACGTTGGTGTAGGAGAACACATTTCTAACATTCAAGTAGATCAAGGCACATTGTTGCACCTGTAAACTTTAACAGGCCTACAGTTGAAGTCGATTCATTTTGCCCTCCCATTCATTCAAAGTAATGTTTCTGAAAACTTTTACAGTGTTTCCTAAAACATAATTATTCTGGAGTCATAATAAGTCCTATTTCTTATTGTTTATTTCATGAATAAAAGCCGTTTTTAATAAAAAATAAATATAAATAAGGTCAGTATTATTAGCCTCCTTAAGAAATATTTACTGTATATTTTTGATTTACACAACAAATCAGTTACAAAATAATTTGACTAATTATTTTAACTTTCGTAGTGAACTGATTAAAAGGGTGGTCCAGAATGTAATTTTAAGGCTTGGTTGCGTTAATAAGATGCAAAGCAATGTGTGCTCCTGTTTCACTTGAAGGAAATCGTGTTATTTTTTCATATATCTCACTTTGATTATACACAGCTACTCAGCTAACATGAAAACGACTGTCATATTTCCTAGTTCCTCTAAAAGACCCACCCTAAAGTGACTCTGATTGGTCATCATCATAATGTGCTGTGATTCGCCGATCGGCTCCACGTCACGCCCGGAGAAGCACGCGCGTTGTGTGTAAACAGTCAGTCAGTTAGTTAACACGTGTCTGTAACGAGTGAAAATGGGATGCGGCTCCTTTAAAAGTGTTTCTGTGCCATTTAGTGTGTTTATGTGTGTGCGTGTGTATACTATGAAGTGTCTGTAACATGAGAAGTGCATGTGCGCGGGATATTTATTGTTCTTTTTCTCTCATGCTCGGATTAAGTTATTTTCTGTGGTGACAGATTAAATTACAAGATGTGAGATGAGACCTTTGTGAGCCTGGATTGATTTGTTTTTGCTGTTACACTCCAGTTGGGAGAGCATTGCTGTATTTATTTTTTAATCAACGTGTTACAGGACGTCTTTCACGCATATCCGGAATATGCCTGTGTAAGTAACATGATTCCTTCACATATCTTTTGCGACTTTATTGTCTTGAGTTGAACGCATGGAAAAGCTGCCTGAAGACAATCAGTGCAGTCGTGCACACACATAAGAGACACACTGCCATCTCACACAGAGACGCGCATGCTGGCCAAGAGTGCGTGTATGTATGTTTGTGTATGTGTGTGTGTTTACAGCCGTTTGACTGATAAGTATGGATTTGTAGCTAAGTCGTTAGCGATGAATATAATTTCCCGTTATTTACATTTATGCTACAACACACCGTTAAGGCTAGACGCTGTACATGTCATGATCAATTTTAACAAATATAAACACTTACAGGTCATGACTCAGAGTTCACAGCGTCTCCTTGCTCCATCTTTGAGGAGATTTTAGCCGAATCCAGCACTGAACTGGGAGAGATTCTGGAAGCTGCGTTTTGTCAAATCATGCTTGCTGTGTATTTTATAGTTCTCTGGAATATAATTAATATTGAACTGTAAGCACTTCTGTGTTTGGGTCGTGTCATTTGGAAGCCCAACAACAGAAACAGAACAGCTCTGTGGAAACAGCATGATGGCATTTCTCCCTCTGCAGTAACGTTACAGCGCCTCTGTTTATAGTTCATAATTAATAATTATATTTTAATTATATACATAATTAATATTGAACTGTAAGCACTTCTGTGTTTGTGTCGTGTCATTTGGAAGCCCAACAACAGAAACAGAACAGCTCTGTGGAAACAGCATGATGGCATTTCTCCCTCTGCATTAACGTTACAGCGCCTCTGTTTATAGTTCATAATTAATAATTATATTTTAATTATATACATAATTAATATTGAACTGTAAGCACTTCTGTGTTTGTGTCGTGTCATTTGGAAGCCCAACAACAGAAACAGAGAAGTTCTGTGGAAACAGCAGGATGGCATTTCTCCCTCTGCAATGCAGTAACGTTACAGCGCCGCTGGCAATGGCCTTTACCTGTGCTGTGTGGGACGCGCAATAACGAACTTTTGTGATCTCACAGTATTTTTTGGAAGTATTTTTTTGTAGTCCCCAAAATTCGTTCATTGTAGGCTTTGCTAAGCTAACTCTGTAAAAATCAAGGTCTCCCTTTGCATTGAACTTTGAGCATTTTACATTCAGAGATGCTGTTTATGTTCACACAGCTACATTACACATCAACAAAAGTTTAAAATATGAGATCATAGTGGACCACCCCTTTAAGTCTAAATTACACTTCAATCTGAATAAAAGACTATAAAATACTTAAAGGGACTTTGTCTGAATACTGTCTTGCAAAATTACTAGTAAAATGTTCTGCACTGACTGTCAGCATAAAAAAGTAACGTTAGATATTAGAAACTAGTTAGTTAAACTATTATATTTAAAAATGTGTTGTAAATAAATCATGTGTTCAAGACGGAAATCAAAAATGAATAAAGTCAAAACTAAACGAGTTGAATATGACTTACATGAGCGTGACTGAAAACTACATTTGATCAATGTGTTACATCTGTTCTACATGTGTGATTAAGTTTGACATGTTACCCCCTTAACATTACACGCACTTTTGTGAAGACAGTTGCTGTGTAAGAATCCTTGCTTGTAAAATTTGCTTTAGAATGCTTAGTTTAAGCAAATTGGATGAACGTGATCACGCATGTTGATCTGAAGTGTGTCGCTCTCGCTCACCGAAAACCACTGGTTCCAGGCTAAATGCGCTGTACTGCGTGCGTCTGTTCCCTAGCGACAATAACAATTGCTTGATATCGCTTGTCCGTATTCCTCAAAGTTGTTTAGAATTAAATGTTTAGTGATGCTGTGACACAACGCCTATATGTGCCTTTTTTCATGCACCCCTCACGTTCATGTTGCAGCACCGAAATTAAGCACCGAAATTCATATGCTGATTTAATACCGATACATACCAGTTACTAAGGTAGCGGTGCTAAAATGGCACCGGGTTTCGGTAACCAACCCTAATACACACTGATCACGTCTACAGTTTATCTCCAGTGTGAATCCTCTGATGTGCTTTCAGGGTTCCTAAGTGAGCAAACCTCTTACTGCAGTGTGAACACTTGTACAGTTTCTCTCCAGTGTGAATCCTCTCATGTGTTTTCAGGGTTCCTGAGTGAGTAAACCTCTTACTGCACTGTGAACACTTGTACGGTTTTTCTCCAGTGTGTATCCTCTTGTGCCGTTTCAATTCTGCAGCTGTAATAAAAGTCTTCTCACACTCCAAGCACATATACTCTCTCACACCAGTGTGGATCTTCATGTGTTTTTTAAGGTGTGATGATGTGCTGAAACTCTTCCCACACTGAGTGCATGTGAAAGGTTTCTCTCCAGTGTGGATCCTCATGTGTACATTAAGGCATGATGATTGGATGAAACTCTTCCCACACTCAGTGCAAGTGAATGGTTTTTCTCCGGTGTGGATCTTCATGTGTCTATAAAGCGATGATGATTTACTGAAACTGTTCCCACACTCAGTGCATGTGAATGGTTTCTCTCCAGTGTGGATCCTCATGTGTAGATTAAGGGATGATGATTGGCTGAAACTCTTCCTACACTCAGTGCAAGTGAATGGTTTTTCTCCAGTGTGGATCTTCATGTGTCTATAAAGCGACGATGATTTGCTAAAACTCTTCCCACACTGAGTGCATGTGAATGGTCTCTCTCCAGTGTGGATCATCATGTGTTCATTAAGGTGTGATGAGCAGTTAAAACTCTTCCCACACTGAGTGCATCTGAATGGTTTCTCTCCAGTGTGGATCCTGATGTGTTGATTAAGGTGTGATGAGCAGTTAAAACTCTTCCCACACTGAGTGCAAGAGAATGTTTTTTTACCGGTGTGGATCTTCTTGTGTCTATAAAGTGATGATTTGCTGAAACTCTTCCCATATTGATAGCATGAGAATGGTTTCTCTCCAGTGTGCATCATCATGTGAGTCTTTAGTTTGCTTTTGCTTGCCAAACTCTTTCCACACTGAGTGCAGGTTAAACAACTCTTGTCTCTCACTTTTAAAATACCAGTAGTCACTAAATGAGTTTTGTCCTCAATTTTGACATGATGTTCCTCCTCTTTACTCTCATCGTAGTCTTTAATTAGGTCTGAAATAAAAATAAGTTTACTTTTTAGTAAATCATTAAAACTCTCAGTGAAAAGGCACTTAAAAAATTTCCCATTAGAACAACTTTAATTTATCACACCAACTTCAAGTTCTCTAGCCACACCCAGACCTGATTACTACCACACACGTTCACAATCAATAAATCACCTAAATAGGACCTGTCTGACAAAGTGAAGTAGACCAAAAGAGCTTCAAAAGCTAGACATCATGCCAAAATCTAAAGACCTTTAAACACAAATGAGAAAGAAAATACTTATGTCACTGGTTAAAAAAAGAGTGAATGGCTTTTCCTACAGCTGGTGGAGGAGACGAGAGTACGGTTGGAGTTCACTGTAGTGCATACATTTGTTTTCACTGTAAAATCCTCACCGCGTGCGCAGATTTAGGAGACATTTATGCAGAACGCATCTTTGCACCTAAAAGCGCCAAACGCAGCACTCAGGAACAGATTAAATCAGTTGTTATGTGAACTTGAAATAAAAAAGCCTGCAATGCTTGCCCCGCCTTTGTGCTCTATTGATTGGCTCACTGCTCTACAACTGAATGCAAATGATTGGTTAATATCAGCTGTCAATCACTCAGTCAATGCCTTCTGCCTTCAGATGATGGGAGCTACAACTGGGAAAATGTGAGGCACTGAAGATGAGAGAATGAAAATAACAGACAGGTTTACCTTAAGTTATTAATAATGGCGCATCTTATTAGTAATCATGTGCTGAATGTTAATCCACCATTTACACTTTTCCAAGAGTGGATAAAAAACTTCTAGTGGTTTTAAGTCCGCCGGTAACCGTGTTTGGCACTGAATCTACACATTTAGGCGCGAGAGGTATTGTATAATCCTTCATTTAATCCTCACGATGCTGTCAGCCCTGCAAGCAGCAGCTATATGTAACATTTAACACAGCTCATGAAAAGACTGTTATTGCTATAACGATGACATGCAAATAATAAGTTATATATCAATATAAATGTGGGGCGGGGCGATGGATCGTGATGCAGGCCCAGCATCGTGAAGTTTGTCGGCCATCGGCAATGGCATCTAAAAAAATAATACAATTGATCAGCTAAAATCAACATCATCTTCTGAAGAGCTTCATAAGAAAATACTTATTCTGCAAGCGGAATGACTCCTTGAGGATCTCCACATAAGATCACGCCAGATTCATTATGAACATGGTGAACGAGCTGGCAGGTTATTGTGTTACCAACTGAAACAATCCTCAGCAGCTGGCGTTATAGTAGCAGTTAGTAAGGATGATGGCAGTATTATGACTGAACAACAGGGTATTAGTGATCAATTTAAAAACTTCTATAAAACTCTTTACAGCTCTGAGGTAAACTAAATTGAACGTATTGAGAGCTTTAATTATTTAGAATTACCATCCCTCTGTGATTTAGATCAGTTGACAAAAAAAGGAATTTTAACACCTTCTGAAATTGAAAATACAATAAAAAAATAAATAAAAATCGGAAAAGCACCAGGCCCTGATGGCGTCCCGGCTGAGTTTTATAAGAAGTTTTGTGCCAAGTTAACACCTCTGTTGTGCAAGGTATTTGCTAAAGCTCTTGTATCGGAATCACTCCCCCCTTCATGACATTGGCTGTTATAACAGTACTTCTTCAAAAGGGTAAGGATCCACTTAAATGTGAATCTTATCATCCGATCAGCTTTCTTATCATCCGATCAGCTTATTAATCCTGGCTAAAGTGCTGGCAATCAGAGTGGAGTCAGTCACGAGAAAGATAATTCACCCAGGTCTAACTGGTTTTATTGTTAAGAGACAGTTATCTTATAACCTTTGAGCTTATTTAATTTTATTTATTTACCTAAAAATAATACTAATCCAGAGGACTTAATTTCTTTAGATGCCCATAAGGCATTTGAAAGAATTGAGTATATCTATTCATTTACAGTGCTTAAAAATTTGGTTTTGACCCTGGACCAAATGGCTTGTTTCCACTGACTGGTACAGTATGGTACAGTTCGGGTCGGTACGGGTCACCTTTACCAGGCTTGCGTTTCCACTACCAAGGGTACCCTTTTGGTGGGCGTGGTGTATGACAAAGTTTCAGTCGACGTCATTTTCGCTCAAGAAAATGTCTACAGTAAAGCTGCACAGGTCGTTCACATATCATATGAAAAGCACACATAAGTACTTGAGTATAAATGTTTATTACTAACTTTTCTATGAACATTAGTTGATTATAATTGCAGATCAATGACGGTGCGAAATAGCCTACTGTAACGTCTGTAATTATATAAAGTAAAAAAATAAATGAAAAAATATGAACACATACAGACCCTTACAGTCTCCGATATGTTACCAACTACAGAAGAACTACACAAAGCAGACATTTCATCCTTAATTAGGTTCAATACAACACAAAGTATAGCCAGGGCCAGAGCAAGCTGAACTGCCGCTCTAGGCAGAGGACGATCATGCTGCCCTCAACCCCAATGTGAAAATGAAAGTGACCGGTTATGAAGATGAAGTGAGGTGTCACAGACCTTTTAATCAGCACACTATGCGCGGATATAACTGAGGACGCGCGGGTGCTAAAGGAGGGAGGGAGGGAGGGAGGTGTCGCGGACACTGCGCTCTCTATTCTGCCGCCCTATGCGCGGATGTAACTGAGGACGTGCGGGTGTCGCGGACCTCAATTCTGCCGCCCTATGCACGGATATAACTGAGGACACGCGGGTGCTGATGGAGGTGTTGCTGAGGCCGCCCTCTCTATTCTGTCGTCTATGGGCGAATATATCTGAGGACGCGGGTGGTGAGGGAGGTGTCGCAGACATAACTGAGGACGCGGGTGGTAAGGAAGGTGTCGCGGATGCGGCCCTCTCTATACTGCCGCCCTAGGCGGCCGCCTAGGTCGCCTCTATGGACACGCCGGCCCTGAGTATAGCCTCCAGTCAGTGAAAACCTCTCATCTGTGTCTGTAATATTCAGCAGCAAATGTAGCCTCTGTTAGAGAGTCATTCCATCATTACCAGTTCATATTAGTCTAAAAGGTGATAATAAAGATTAAGACAAGGCAGTTTGTTCACGTTTGCTGAAGAAATACCGTGCTCCTTGGCTTCGCCTTTTTTCCGCGCCCCACTCCCGCGTTTGTCCTTTTCTTTCTGATTGTGTCACAGAATGTGTCCCGCGTTTGTCAGCTTCTCACAGGACCGTGTTTCCAAAGCTTGTCAATAATCAAGCGCATATATTATTATCAGCTCAAGAAGTTTGTTATTTCAGATAGAGACGAGCGGCGAGCACAAGGAAGAATGCGAAACCACTCAGGCTTCAGACTGGCTCGTAAAAAACTACGCGGCACAGGGTAAATCCGCTCTTCTCCATGGCTTTGTGGCTGTTTATCAAGATGACGACAGGGTTTGTTTGAGCCCGGATCGACCATGGCTGCATATGTATTTATAATTCCGCTGTAATCTCTCGCTGTGTATTTTAAACATGGCGGGTCCGTTATTTAGATTCTGGCTTGTTGTGTCTACGAATGACGTATCTCTGTAAACCAATAGCGTTCAGCTGCGCGTCTAGCTCCGCCTTTTAGGGCCTACTCACACTATGCCATCCGTACCGTGCCCAGGCCCCTTTCCCGGATCGTTTGAGAAGTGTGAGTGCGCTGAATCAGGCTCAAGCACGGTTCACTTGGCTGGCCCTGGCCCGGTTGGAAGAGGTGGGCCTGAGCGCGGTTCACTTGGGCTTTGGCGCGGTACGCTTGTGTGTGAGTACAAAACGCGCCAAAGCCCAAAACTGTCAGCGAGACGTGACTTTTAAGGGACTGTTACATATGGATTTATTAATCATTCTTACTGTTCAGTGAACGCAAACTGCCGTAGTTTATTAAAGACGAGAACTCCTCACAGCACGACAGCTGTGCGCCTTCAGCAGACCTCCTCATTCCTGCAGCACGAGAGCTTTATGATTGTTTATGAGCGCCAAAAGTGGCGGATCTGTTCGGCGAAATATCTGACTGCGTGTCACCGCATCCCTAAGGACTGTTTGGCGAAATATTTGACTGCATGTCACTGCATATCAAACGACTGAAACAACATAACTAGAGAAATCTCCACTGTGCTGCTGAGAGAGCGCTTCTCACTGAACAGCGCAGCAGTGATGACGTAAGCGTGCCCAGGCCCGTTTGTGGTGTGAGTGCGGGCCGTCGGGGCAGACAGGATGGGGGACAAGCGTGCTTTGGCCCGGTTCGAGGCAACTTTACCTAGTGTGAGTACGGCCTTAGTGTTTGGGACCCTTTCAAAAGGGTGCCAAAAAAGTGGTACGGTACGGTTTGGTTTGGTACGCCTTTTAACAGTGGAAACCAAACCGAACCACTTAGTGGAAACGGTCCATAAGAGCTTGATTAACATGGTAAACAATATAGAGACTTCTAAATGAATGAATGTGCGAATATAAAACCAACTTTACCTCTATATGACTGAGTTGGTGTTTGAGAATGAAAACCAACCTGTTTGTTCCTGCGTATCTTCCTGTTTGACTGTGAATGTTTCTTCAATCTTCACATCTTCACTCTCCTCTTTAATAAACGCCATTTTTATAACAGTGTGGAGATCAGTCGCTTCAGCAGGAGTTTTTTCTCTGTGTTTGGACACTTTATCCTGTTTAAAATGAACAAAACAATAAAAATGTCCTGTTTAAATAAGTAAAAAAAATTAACACAAATAAAATAACTTCTCTTCAACACTTGCTTCAACAGTAACAAAAACGAAATCAGGTATGTCCAAGCATAGAGGTAAAGTTGGTTTTATATTCGCACAATCAGACTTTTCTCTTAATAATATAACTTCATG